CATGCTGGAGCTAGTACTACTATTTTAATTAACCCTAAACGAACCTTCCCATTAACCAGCAGCTGCATGCTGCTCAATCACAAGTCAAGTCCACTCTCTAACGCCGTTAAATAAACTACTGATGGTCCATTGCTCAACTCGTCTTGCATTGCTTACTAAATTCATTAGACAAATTAGAGCAAATTCCCTTGCTTTATTTCAATGTTGAAGATAGATCTATATATAGCTGCTATTTGTTGGAATGTAACATCTGCAGTGTGTGTGCTGGTTGATCGATACAAAACTGGAGCTGAATACTCACCGATCGCGACAGTGCGAGTTCAGTGAGTTTTACGTGAATTTGCATTCGGATGTTTCATTCATCTAACAACCCTAGCTACACATGCTATGAATAAGGCTTAAATCAACCCGGTAACGACCGGGTTTGTCAATTTTTTTACTTGTGTCAGTCCCTCTCAAAACGAGGGAGGGGGAAATTAACACCCTGAATTTCGTTGCAACTCGCAATGCAACTTAAGAATGATGTGGTTTTTGCATTTATGTTTGAAAATGCTAAAAACACACAGCTTGACAAAAACGCGTATATATATATCCACATTTTTTTTGAGACCCCGGTTACAGACGCAAACACCCAATGAACGCAAGCTCGGACATCCTACTCCTACGAGTACCTCTGAATAACTGAGTTGGACCAGCAAATTTTGAGATTGACCGGGTCTGTTCGGCTGGTATTAAAGTCGGTTGATAAGCCGGCTGAAGCTGTTTTGTTGCGAGAGAAAAATACTATAGATCCTAGAATAAATCCAGAAAAATACAAGCACGCGTGTCAAGCCCGTGCCCACCACTGAAAGAATAGCGTCGTTAAATCCTATAATAAATCCAGGAAAATGCGAGCACCCGTGTCGTTAAATCCTAGAATAAATCCAGGAAAATGCGACCACCCGTGTCAAGCCGGGGACTTGAACCCGGATGGGTAGGTTTCACCACAAGAAACTCAACCAGCTGAGCTACGCTTACTTCGCTATATATATGCCCCCCTATTTAATTACATGCTGGAGCTAGTACTAGTTTAATTAACCCTAAACAAACCTTGCATTAACCAGCTGCAAGCTGCTCACAAGTCCATCTCTACCGCCATTAAAACTATAGCTGTTACTGTTGATCGATACAATCGCAATGCCTTCAAAACTGGAGCCAGCTGAATAATCAGCGGTCGCGATGTATAGTTCGAGTTCAGTGAACTTTACGTGAATTTGCATTGGGACGTTTCATTCATCTAACAAACCTAGACATGCTACGAATTTCTTAAGTCTTAAGCCGGGTAACAAACGGATTTCTCTTTTTTTTACCTGTGTCCCTTTCAAAACGAGGGAGGGGGGAAACGACCTGGATTTTCGTCGCAGCTTACGAATATCGTGTATCTTTTGTATTTATATATCTGAAAAAATGCTTGAAACACCCTCTATATGGTAGTAGTAGAAACATATCCATGCCACGAATAAAATAAAGATATATATACACGGTGAGAACGAAACATGCATGGTTGTTACCGTGTCGTCGGTAATTCCATCATACAGTGACCTGAGTCCAATGTTAACTGAGTACTACTTAATTAAATTAAATAATAAATTGCTCCTGAACCTTATCTATCGGTTGATATTTACCCAGATATATTGCCGGAAAGCATTCGGCAGCTCTGCATCCAAAATCTCCAGTTTTTTAACTGATACATTTTCTTTCAGACGAAACAATGCCGCGACAAGTTTTAATCAAGTACACCGTTAGTTAATTCATTCGCTTGTCTAATAACAAGAAGATGAACACGTTATTGACGATGCACTCTTCAGTTGAGTTAGCAGTCTACGATTTTATAATTGGGAAGAAGAAGACAGACAGGCAGCGACGTGTGCAGTTGCGGCAGCACAACCACACCCCAACAACACCCACGCCCGTCAGCCGTCATGCCGATGCGATGCAGACGGCCATCCAAGCCTCCCTCTGAATTCCGGTCCCCTGATGAGCCTCGAGTGCAGTGACAGTACCTGTTGTTTTCAGGCTTCTTCTTCGGATCCAACGGGCAGTTTTTTCAAAGCCCGACAGCAGCGACTCATCGGCGCCATGACTCCATGCGATCGTCACTCTCCTCTTCCTGCCGATCCTGTATGTAACTCATCGGCGCCATGGTTGGTTTGCGATAATAAACCCACTCCTCTTATTGCGAGAAAAAATGCCGATCCTGAAACCAATAACGAACGTCACGAAATCTAGGGCGACGTCTCGAGCACCGTCTGGTGAAGGTGAATCGACGACAGGCGCCCGTTGATGCCTGCATTGCACCGCTGAACGCGATCGGACGGTCTTAGCCGAGCCGCCTACGTTGCTGTTGCCGGTTGACCTGGAGGACACAGCCTACTGAAAAGGAGGCCCGTTGCAAGTTGCATGCCCGTTCGTCTCTGATGTTGCGTTCGCCGAAAGGTGGAGGCTTGCAGATCAATCCCTCCCTTATCTCGCGTGCACGTATTGTATTGTCCATCGAGGACGAAAGCGTGACGGATGAACCCTAATAACCGAAATCACAGAGCGTCTCCTGCACTGCACCGAAGATCGTTCAAGCTTTTAATAAAATCTTTGTTTATGATTCCACGCAGCATCGTGCAGGCACAGTAAAACACAGCTGCCAACTGTTTCGATTTCTACGTTCCATGGTCGCCGACGCTGCACCCACTGTCCGTTTTTTATTGCCGCCGCATGTTGAGGACGACGCTGCTCACTGCAGGCGTTGACGACGCCCGGCGCCACTCAGCTCCCACCGCGCACGCTCGCCTGTCATTGCCATGGGATCAGATCGCAACGAGGACGGACATGGAGAGGGCACGGGCGAGCACTGAGATCCAGTGACGCCATTGGAAAGCGGCCGTTGAAGCGAAGCGCATTTTTCCTGGGCTGGATCATCCACCGAGTTGAAGAGAGACATTAATGGGCGAAATAAGCAGAAAATGAAGGAGACAGCGAGTGATCAAGGTCGGACAGAATCTTCAAAACATGTCATTGACAAAATACAAATGGATTACTGCAAAGATACACATATATACGTTTGCTGGAAATCTTTGGAGCATCAAAATTGAAGCATAATTAATTCCTCAAAAATAAAAAGATTGAAGCATTTTTTTCTCGAATACGCAAAAGCTTTGCGTATCATTGTACTAACTAGAAGAGTTTAGGCAAACATACAACGCGCTTGTATCGAACGCCGCAAGAGGTCAACCTAACACAGCCGTAGCTGGACCGTCCTAGCAAGAGACATCTAGATTCGATATTATATTAAAGGAAGCAACTAATACCTACACAACGGTGCGACCTAGGAGGTGGTCTTGCGTCTTCGCGGCTGCCTGGACCGAACAGCCGCGAAAAGATCGTCAAGCGCTTTGGCCTCGAATGCAGTTAGGTCACCGTCGAAGAGCTTCTCATAGGCCTCCAGCTCCAACGCGGATGGCACTGATGGACCCTTGGCGAAGCTCATGCGCTGCATGATCAGCACCTCACATCGCTTGGAAGCAGGTACTCGAGAGAGGGGCTGAGCCACCAACAGTCTGCTCCGCCACGGTATTACTGGCTTAGCAGAAGGCTGCATTGGAGGCTAAAAAGATTCAAGCATAATTCCTCAAAAAATAAAAAGATTGAAGCATAGCATAGTGCCGATAATCTAGACCTGAAAAATCACTGGGAGCACTAAGAACAGTGAGGAGAAAATGGGAGATTGACGCAACCTAGCGGCAAGGAAACAAGGCCTGATCTGATCCTTATCATCACAATTTCTTTTGACTATGAGCAACAATGCAGTGCAGACACGACCACATCATTGCCGTTTTGTTCTCGCGTTTATTCCTCGCTTGTCCTTGCTGCTGTCACACTCGTTGTCACCCATGCACTCCCACCTCGAGCCCACTTCGACAGTGACACGAAGCTGTGTGTTGGATTCTCTCTGTGTGTCGGTGACCCGACAGTTCGCTGCTCGCTGATAGCCATAGCAATAGTAGCAATTGGCATTTTATTGAGCAGAGGCTGTCCAGGGCATGTTTGTAGCCGCATGGATTTTCATAGGAATTCTGAGAGAATTTCGTCGAAACAAAGCAGGTCTAGCTCGTAAAAGGTTCGGCGAAAATGGCTGCGCTCCAAACGGGGAAATTATTCGTGACTTGTAGCTGTTTATTGTTTAACTCAGATCAGGGGGATGGAGACAAGTGCTAGAGATTTCAATCAAGCAATTTGCCTGGTTCAGGCAGCTGAGCTGAATTGGAATGTTAGTGATGAATGATGATGATGGCACGGCTGGCATGATCATGACTGGATGAGTTTTTTTTTTTAACACCGGCAAGTACAGATCCCCATCTTTATAGATCTTCAGATCCACTGCATTTATTGGCCTGAATGCCTGATAAACTGGTGCTAATGGACAGAACAGTGCCCCCCAAAAAATGTTTAAGACTTCAGTGTTGTGCTCAAGTAGCTGTCACCAGATACAAGAAGAAGAAATTGTCTGTTATGCTATTGCACACTTGCAGTGCACATGCGGTCGTGGTGGTTTGTCCGTGTCTGCGCGAGGTTAATGACCCCTACTTTAATTTCATATCTTGGTCAAGGAAAAAGATAATCAGCAGAGCGGATCCAATGTTTGCAATGCAGGCGACCAAGTTTATTGATGTCCGCAGGAATGCTAGCCAATGATCTTACAGTCTACCCATGAGTAGGACCTGTACCAGTACATTGTACTCTGAAATGTTCAGAGGACAGAACATAGTTTATACAATGGCCAAGTTACAACTGCATCACTGGATTCCTGAGGTGAAAGTAAGAGCCCCGGTGTCAGTAACATTCTGTACCTTCCATCATTCATTTGTATCGAAACTAAACATTCTGTTGTCAGTCAGCAAAGTCTTCAGCGAATCATATGTTCGATGTATCATCAGGACTGCACACCGCCACCACCTTGTTTAGCATGTTTATGTGGATTGAGGCAATGCAGAATCGCTCAGAGTTTTGGAGTCTACGAATGCACATAATGCTTTCCAGATTGGAACCAACATCTTGACTGGTGGATTCAAGTTCTGCAAAATAAGCTCTTTCAGACCATTGATGCCTTACAATGCACTTAATAAGGACATACTAAAAGCAGGCAACATTTACCTTGAAAACAAGCATGAGATCATATTCTTCACGCAGAAGCAAGGCCAAGTTACAGTAGCATGAGACAGGGGTCACATGCTCATTCAGCACTGGTTTTAGAATCTTGCCAATGGGCACAAATTTGCGATGAACTCTTCCACTGTGAAACACAACTTTGATGTTAAGAAAATGAAAGGATCAAGCCTACATTTCTGCAGCTCATAAGCCATCCAAAAAACAAAAATGTTGGAAGTCTCCTCTAGTCATTTCCAGCTAAAGCAAAATGAAAAGAGGGGTGCAAATGGGTGCCCCTAAGAGTCTCCACTCTCCACCAGCCATCCCTCTTTAGTTCAATTATTACTACTAATTTTCCAAAATGTGCATATTTTGAAAAACTAGCACTATAAAATATAAATTAAACTAAAGCGATTCAATGGAGACCCTTAGGAGCAGCAATTCGCACCCCTAGAAAAGATGGCTCAATCCAGTGTTCCTGTCAAAGACAAGTACTGACAAGAAGTATATATCTATTTTTTTAAAAAAAAGTGTTAAGATATTGAAAATGACAAAGAAAGCACTTATTTCCTTTAGCCTTGTGAAGCCTTTGCTTCCTCCCTTCTATTTATAATAGTCTGTTCTCTTGGAAGAATATTTGATGAGCAGTAAATACTGAAAGCATGAATAAATATTCCAGACTGGTTCTTCCATACCTCCAAAAGTGTTGCTCTAATTGAACCCCAAAAGTCGGCATGATCACCAATGACTCTGCACAAAAATTAAACTAGATACCAAATAAGGAGCACACAGTCTCACTTTCCTGTACTCATTTTCAACATGGATACCAAGAAATGTAAATCTTTTTTTCTCTTTCTTTTGCAGCACTGAAAATTTAACAAGTTGTTTCAAAGAAAATTTAACTACAAAGAACTCAGAGCACAGAGAAAAATAACCTCAGCACCCACCTTTCTTCACAGGGTCGCATCGCAAGCATTTTGCAATTATACTGGCAAATGAAATACTCCAAAGGGAACCAAGACATAAACTATCCTGCAACATTTAAGCACCACCATTCAGTTAAAATACTGCCTATGATCAACCTGGCTGTACTCAACATACCTTAGGTTTTACTTACAAACTAGTAAAAGGGAAGCAAAACAGATAAAGCACCACTAACATCACTAGTGTAATAAGGCTGTTCTTCAGAAACGTAACATATCGCTTCACTAGTTAAAACCTGAATCTATACTAAGTAGCTCATGAAAAGGATGCTCCCAGAATATCCACACAACTGAACTGTTTCAATTGAATTGCGCCTTTTGTAATTAACATGCCCAGCTATGGAAAAGACGAAAGTGAAAAGTGAAAACCAACAGTCACAGATTTGAGAGCTATTTCAAGAAAAATACCTTTGACAACAGGGCGCAGCAAACAGTCGCAAGAAGGAACATTGTGCCCATGTACGACAGCAGAACCCTGAATTTGCTCTTCTTGACAAAGATGACATGGATATCAGCTCCTCCCTCGCGGTGATGCTTGTAAGTGTACAAGCCATCAGATATCCCATGTTCTTGCTGCCCCATGTATGAGCCCATCAGAACACTCTATAAGCTTCCTGTACAGCTCACATCAGCCTTCACATGCTCAGTTTCTAAAAGGACGACAATTGGTGAATGTATCAAAAGACACACTTCTTATGAATTTTGTATGCCCTCCTCATCTCCCTATAAGAAGACAACGTCGTCTAAGGAAAAAAAAACGCTAGCTGTGCAGTTGACGAAGTAGTAAGGCGAGAAATCTCTAACTTCCATACAGATTCGCTACTAACTTTACCGTCAGCAAACTGGTGAGAAAAGACGAGATCCGCTATGTATCAGTCCAGCTTTTCCAAATCGGTCCAACCAAATAGCCTCCCAGTCCACGAAACGTACAGGAATCGGAATAGGAATGCGTGCGCATGGCATGGAGTACGCGTACCTGGGAGTAAAATCCAAGGAGGATGCGGACGAGCAATGGCGGCACAGGGACAGAGAAAGGGCAAACCGGTGGCGACATAGGTGGTTTGGAGGAAGAGAAGTAACTGACGGACGCGATTTCTCCAAAGCTTGTACTTCTATTCGTCTGGGCCGTCGATTAGCTTTAGGCCCAGAGCCACTCCATGCGTATGCTATTTGCCACAACACCCTCGCAGACTGAAATTTACAGCATCATTAAAGTCTTTTTTTTTTTGCATCTTTATACTGTTCTCAAAACTATAGCATAAGATATATAGAGGAAAAATGTTTAAACTTTAGTTGTCTTCTCATCTCTTTAGCCTACTTTTACATCCCCAGTGCATATAGCACTGCTCTATATTATTTCTGCATTCTGCAGTTCTGCTAAAGCTTATCAATTTGATACAGGGCTACACGCCTTCAGTTTATTCAACACAAACTATTTAATGACATGAGATTCATAGTTCATTACAACAATCAAATTTTTATTTACCAAAAAGACTCTAAAACAATCAATCAGGTCCTAGTACAACTATTTCCATTTAGAGATTACATCAATCAATTAATTCTACTCTACTTTACAACGATGTTACAACTTGCAAGTATACAAATAGCACACTCTAAAACGATGGAACCACTGTTTTTGGACTTTTGGCCTTCTGGGCAACAGTTCTGAACGGTAAATCAACAAACACCTGGTCGCAGCCTGAAATAAAAATCCACTACTGCTTCATACTGTCCCAGTGCGCTTATTCTTTCTCCATTCCCATGGTTTCTCAGGGTTCGACAATGCCCACAAGCCTGTTCGCCTTGTCTTTGCCTGATTCTCCCACTGAAAATTTTCATCTATCAGGAACCTCGAATTTTTGGAAATAAAATGATCAAAGCATGCTCTTGTCAGTCAAGTGGAATGGAGCAGTCCATTCTGCCATGTTGAGTAGAGTGGTACAAGAGTACTAGTTACCTTGCTGAGCTCCATCCGATGATCATAAGTAGTATAGTGCCATGCAAGTCCTTTCTTCAGCATGTGTTCCTTTTGCAAAAGAAATAATAACAATAATTCATTTCAATGTCCTCAGTGTTGCTGAGCATTAGAGCCCGAACAAGTGATCTTCAGCTGAGGCGATGCAACATTTTCTTGCATAATTTACCATCTTTACTATTGATTGGTTCCAGCGCATATCTCTACACTTTTTCCTAAGGAGAAGTCCCACACCTTTCACAATCAAACAGTATGTTTCATTTCCTTTAGTATATATAAGAGAACCGGGACAATGCAGGTGCAGTGTTTAAGCTATGCATTATAAAATTACAAGAGTAGGTGCCTTCAAGAAAATTCAAAGAGCATAGGGAGCAACAGATCATCCACTGATTTGATAGATTACCACTGCTAGATTTCTAGAAGAGTTGCCACTACTACTTTCTAGAAGAAACTCTGAAAGCACGCCATTGTAGTTTCTTACCTGCACGAAAACCCCATCATAATCAACATCTCCAACTAAGCGACCGTACCAGTCACTGTCATATATGGAAATCTTTAAGCTTTTCCCCTGCACGAGCCTCAAACGGCTCCTCTTTGGCTTCTTTGCCATATGGCATTAGGCTCTCTGGTGCATCAATCCCCCTGCATTGCATTTTATTATATCACAACTCCACTCCAAATAGAAGGAAGCCTGTGATCATTGATAAAGAACAAGTGTGGGCAAACCTTAGCCTTATCCTGTAATTCTTTGCAAGAATTTGTTCCCCACCAATGCCACAAACCTGCCTACACCCAGGAATAAGAACTCAAAAGTATCAGAAATCACATAAGAAAAGGATGGCCACTTGGTTGTTGAGAATTCTTTTTTTTTTTCAAGGACCTATATCCTGCATCAAGTATGATCTTCAGCAAATCACCAGCTCTTTGGTAATTATTTGCCGCCAGTGCCTTGCTCCGCTCAATGCCTGCTTCATACACATCCTGGGGCACATTGCTAGACTCTGGATGACGAGCCATGCTAACATACACAGTAATCGTGTCACCGTCAGTTACAGCCTTAGCATCCACCTAAGAAACTAGCATGTGCATTTGTCAGTGATTCGCTTTTACCAATAAGTCAACGGATATACAATGGGAGGGAAACATCTTACAGGGAGAGTGAGCAACTCATACTTAACCCCTTGAAATTTGCGGCCAATAGGTGTCAAGCGAATGCACCAAAAAGAGCCAAGACAGAGCTCCTCCTGCAATGGCAATACCAGTAATAACCAATATAAGGAGAGCACCAATTAAAGCAACTAACGTAAACACAAAACATTGACAGCATTTCTACAGATGATGGATCTACCGTGCTAGCAACCTTGCAGAACAGATTTCTAAAGGAATGGATCCTGTTTTACTCTTCACCAAATGAACTGAGCAGTGTGTGCTAGTACACAAACATGGTGCGGATCCCTTGCGGAGACGAAAGAGAGACAGCAATCCCTGAACCTATACCTTTGGGGCTAGGGTGCGGCTAGCGTCCGCAAGGAGGGCAATGGCGCCGATGCAGCAGACAAGCACCAGCGACGGCGGCGCGCGCTTCTCGGAGACGCCGGCACGGCCGTGCAACGACCCCCTCCTCTCTTGGGACAGCCGGGAGCGCTCATGACGCCGGACTTCCGCGGCACCTGGCAACCGCGCCGCGCGCTCAGGCTGCAAGGCCAGACAGGGCTAACGCCGTGCGGCAGGAGCTCGGCAGCCGGGTTCGCCAATCTTCGGGGCCCGGTCGGACTCGAATAGGCTGCCGGCCAGCCGCCACCGCATGTTTTTTTTTTTAAAAAAATTATTACTAGCACAAAACATATCCGTACGATATATAGTATACTACTCTGTCCGTCCCATAATACGTGACGTTCTAGCTCTGAGAGATTGTCCCAAAATAATTAATGTTTTAGCCTAACAGACCTCTGCCATGCTATTCAATAATAGGTCAGTGCAGCACTTTCCTGCTTGCTTCCGTCCAGAAGTGAATAAAAGAATATAGAAAAAATCCAACGGTGGCAGTTGCTCACTCACAGCACCAAGACGAGGCATGCGCCTGTCTCCTGCAGGACGTTCTAATCATCATGATTATTCATAGGGGTGTTTTGGTACAATAACCTGGGCCTTGGTATTGGTGAGATGTTCCTAAACGACATCTAATACGTACTACAAAAGATAGACGACACAAAATGCCCTTTAAAAGAATAGTACTTCAAATACCAAATCAATTCACTTTTTCCTTGGTCATCTATTGTCCTCTGAACTTGAAAATCGTACTGAAAAGGCAGAAAAAAACACTCGCCATATAAGTTTTGAAGACCGGAGAAGCTACTCGTCGCTGACAATGAGATTCAGTCACACCAATCCGCTCAGAGCCACAGAGTAGTTAATGGTTATATCGAGTCATCTTTGACAAATTTCAATCAATTTTGATAGATTAAGGTGTAAATGTGTAATTCTAAGGTCCGACTTTTAACGTGGGGAACACACATATATGTAGTCACATCAATTTGCACAAAGTAGGAAGCAAATCATATCAAGTCATCTCCAATAAATCTAATCAACTTCGCTAAATTTTAAGGTGTAAATATGAAGTTTTTAGTTCCAGGGTTCAACTTTTGACGTGGAGCCTATATGTACATCTAGTCATATCATAATTAGTCATCTCTAATATATTTCAGTCAATTTTGCTAAATTTTTTAAAATATAAATGCGTGATTTTTAACTCTAGAACTCAACTTTTAACATAGGGCCAACATATAGCGATAATGACAGTTTTGTTATTATTATTGTATCATATTGAATTGGTTTAGACATGTAGCTATAATAATAGTTTTGTTATTATTGTGTGGATTTAGACTTAAGAGCAAGAGCAATTCTATTAAAAATCAGTCATTTTGCATTGAGGCAGGATTGGACTAAGGATTTTTTTTTCGTTGAATTTTAATTGGGTTTCTCTACGGAGATTTGGATCCTAATCTATTATCACATCTAAAGGTTTGTTTGGATGTACTCGTATTTATCTTAATCTATGTGTACTAAAGTGTATTGAGATAGATCTTAAACTAAATTTTAGCTTAGTCTACTCTACACGTGAATTTAGGTGGATACATATGCATCCATTACCACGTCTAGATGCAATTGCAAGCAAGAACATTATCTCTAAATAACTGACCGCGCGTAATCGCATGTCCACTGTCAGAATCCGTGATTACAAAAGACTTTGAGAGGGCACGCAGACATAGGACAATGGGGAGCACAAAGACGCGCATGGCAACCAGGCAACCAACAAACCGTGGTTGCAGAATAGACAAATGCCAGAAACACCCCCCATACACTGCAATTTGTACAGACACTTTTTTTTGCTGGCAATTCGCCGCCTTTGTGATACAGATTTTTCACCAATATACAGTGCCACTCCAAACCACACCAAATGGAAGGAGTGGCGAGTATGCTTCTTTGCTGTTAAATGCCATGCAAGGGCAATTGGGCATGCACCACACTAAAGTATGTGACTATTCCGGTCTAATCTATGGTAGAATCTGGCAACCGCTCGTGCAGCCGGTAGATAAGCCGTGATTTTGTCATCTGAGGC